GCTTGAGCCCAGGCTGAACAACGACTGCAATCCTACCAGTCAAGTGCTTGTTTGTCACAAAGGCGGAGCATGGACCGCGGTGTAATCACTCTGCTCCATCCGTGGAGCTGCGTGCAAGCAGGCAGCATCTCTGATGGGAAAGTAACCTCAAAGTGCAACTTGACTCTTATCGACGAGCTCTCACAGACGTGGAAAACTAACACCGGCAGGAGAAAATGGAAACATAGCTCTGTGTTTTTTATAGAACAGATTGAACTCTACATCTGCCTTTCATGACAGATTTTAGAGCAAATACTGAGCCGACTCGTCTAAATAAAGCTTTTAAAATGTGGAAATGGTGCTGAGGGAGAGGTTTGAGGACTTGGAATAATATAGGAAATGTGTGCAACTCCTGCAGGTCCCTGCAACAGTAGATGTGCGAGCACTTTGAATAGGACGATTACCAGGATTTGGAGCATGTTGGTTCTGATGATCTGAAAAGTGAACAGCTGCCTAATAGAGGCGGCTTCTTAAATCAAGAAGTGAATGTAAAGTGTTGAGCTGGTATTAAAGCAGCCAGTTCTCCCCTGACATTAAACCATTGCTCTTATTTTCTCGGGCTGACGGGCGGCGCAGCATCCTGCCGCGGCAGACGGTGAAATGATGGATCTCTCACAGATGTGCAGACTCTGAATGGGAAAGAGAGGTTTGTTAATGGCAAAGTGGCTGGGCGGGAATGACTTCCCACTTGGGCTGCGTGTCGGGTACACCTGCTCCAAAATGCGGTCACCTCGCGACATCGTCATTACCTCCTTGAGTCAGCGTCAGCAGCAGCTGCCTGGCCCTCAGCTTTGGGGACGGAGCGAGCAAACATCGAAGGTGGCTGTTTGTCACAGTTACATTTAAATGAGTTCACATCGATTTCTAAACCACAGGTGCGCAGAGAGTGGCGTGTGTCATCTTCGATGGGCGCTCGCTGGTTCTGTGGAGATGGAGGAGAACGTCTTTTTTTATGCTTGGAAGGGCGGGGCTCATTTCCCTCATGCAAATGAGCCTGCAGGCGAAAGGGGAAGGCAACTGCTATTGGAAGGCTGACAGTGGTGTGTGGAAAATGTTGTGTGACTGGCACTGAGACTAGTACAGTCCCCCAGTGTGTGCCACAGGAGGGAGAGAGGGAGCCAGCCAGAAAAGGGGTGTGTGGAGGTGGGGGGGGGAGGGGGGATTTCCTTTTCATAAGAGCTGTGGTGTTGGAGGGGTTCGCTTGAAATTGATGTCACCGTGAGCCCTGACGCAAAACTTCTAGCTCACACAGCGGGATGGACACACACACGAGCACAAGTTTACAAAGACTTTGATGCTGTAAGTCAGTAATAATCCCACTGTGAGTGTGAGTGGGCAGCGAGCAGCCCGAGTGTGTGGTCATGTTGTCTGCTGGGACGTGTGGATGACTGAGGTCTGGCTTTTAAAACAGAAATGAACACGGAGGCAAAGACAGGCCCTCCAAATCAGGTGCGAGGACACTACCAGCCACTTAGCATCCCAGAGCTTCCTGTAGCGGCTACCATCCTCCATCCTCCAGCTCTGCAAGTTACGTAAGTTTCAGATATAAATACACTTTTTCTTCTGCTGTGACAGAAGAGGCCAGCTGTGAGCAGGGACAGAATTGGAGCACCCTGTTCCTTTTATAGTTTGTGCCCAACGAGGTCCCAGTCCAGTGCCTGTGATCTCCAGCAGCAGACCCACTTCAGAGTCCACATACTGCAGGGAGGTCGTGCTGCAACCGCACAAGGAAGCGATGGACGTCAAATCTGGAACGCCGTTTCCTTGCTAGCAATCATTTGGCTGATTCTTCCCCAGATGACGATGAATTTTTGAAACTTCTTGGAAAAACGTCTTCTGTTCCCATAAGCATCAACTCCAAACCGGCTGTAAAGCACCGTAAACAGTAATGTTACTCAGGCAGGCCGATGATGACGTGTCAACCATTAAGATATCAGTTAGAGGGTGAAAGAGAGTTTAATTGGCCAACAGGCGGGGATGCTCGCCACGTTATGTAAGAGCATCATTGCTGTTTTGGGGCAAAAGACAATTTTCCAGGAAGTCCAAGTGTTAATGGGGCTGTTAAATGATTTGCAAAATAATGTTTTAGTGCACTAAGGATCGCCGCCACTCTTATCTGAAGGGAGTGAATGTAAGTGTTTTGCTTTGTCACAAGAAAAGGTGCATTAATGTGTTGCTGCTGCAGGTTTATGTGTGTTAACCTTAAATAGTTTTGCATCAGCTGCAAAATAAGATGCTTTATACCACAAAGATGCTACATTTATTATTTATTCTTGTGTTCTCCCTTTAAATGTGCTTTCTCCTCCTGTGTGAGTTCAAGCCTGCATCTGAAACCTTCCTTTCAAGCATTCAGCCTCATCCTGAGGACTCAAGGTTGTTTCT